ATTAAAAAAAACAACGAGAATAGATGCCTTTAAACTAAGAACAAATGAAGAGCAATTCCGAGAGGTCTTAGCGGATAAGTTCGAATCTGATCCTTCACATAATCAAGATCAAATTGACGAGATTAATAAAAACCTAAATAAAAACCTTCTCGCAGCAGGACTACAGGTCGCAAAGAAAACACGGACTAAAGAAGACAAAATAAGCAATGAAACTAAACAGCTAATGATGGAAAGAAGACAACTACTAGCGCAAAACAAACGCCATACTCAAGAATATAGAAAACTTAATAAAAGAATTAGAAAATAACTAAAACGCGACATACAAAAATGGAACGAGAACTTAATAGACCGAGTCATTGAAAACAACAGAGGCTTAAAATGTCTAAGACCCGCACTGGGAGTTCAAAAAATCATCAAAATTAAAGACGCTAACAATAAGGTAGTGAAGGACAAATATAAAATAACAAATATTGTCGAAGACTTCTACACATCCTTGTACAGCTCGCAAGGCCAGCCTTATGAAACAACAAAGGAGAACAAAGGAGAACGTCAAAAGAAAAATAAAAAACGTGGGATCAGAGGTACTACCAAATATAAAGGGATACGAAATAGAAAGAGCTTTAAAAGAACTAAAAAATAATAAAGCTCCAGGACACGACGGTATAACTGCCGAGCTCTTGAAAACAAGCAAGACATTAACAATCCCTGTACTACGTCGGCCTGTACTACGTAGTTGAATTGGGATAGTGGGATTGTTTCTAGGTGGTGAATGTACCTGTGGAAGGCTGCATATTTATGTGACATTGGGTGATTGGAAGACAAAGGTATAATATGGTCGGTTTGTCTAGGTTTCCCATAGATACTGAAATCGAAATGGTCGTTTAATCTGGTAATGGCAAGTTTGAGAAAATTAATAGATTGAAACGACTCTAGTTCCATAGTGAACTTTATGTTTGGGTGGATTTGAATTATTTTAGAGAGTAATAGATCAGTTGAATTCGAGTTACCTGATATGAAGACTAAACAGTTATCAACATATCGAAACCAATGGAGAATTTCAGGATTTTTCATAATGTGTGTGGATTATAAGTGATCCATAAATATATCAGCTAGGAGAGAGAAAAGGCAACTACCCATGGCTAAGCCATCAGGTTGTCTGTAAAATTTACTATTGAAAACAAAAAAGTCTTGAGCTAGACAAGTTTGTAATAATTGAATGATTGAGTTAGTGCTAGACATATTGATAGAATTTGCTCGTAGAAGAGAGTGGACCAGATTAATAGTTTCTTGTTTAGGAACAGAAGTAAACTGATTGCTGACATCGAATGAAAGCATTGTGATGTTGAGATGAAGATTTATTTGTTGGAGATTGTTGACTAGATGAATGGTATTTTTGACTGAAAAGCGAGGGGTGAAGTTCGTCATATTGTTAATGAGATTCAATATGAATTTTGACAAGATAGAAACTGGAGTAGTCGGTCAGATAGCTCAGCGGGCTGTGCGGCTGCCTCTCATTCGCTTCACTGTCGAATGGTTTAGTGGATGTGGGTCGAGCCCAAGCTCGGTGTACAGAAAACAAAAAGTCTAACGCAGCAGTTTAAAATTCTAGATGAATCTGCGGCTTAGACTAGGATATGCTGGGTTCTGATCGGCCTATGGTGGAGCAGTACGGCAAGAGATAAGGGCTTGAACGCCTAAAAAACCGGATATATATATATATATATATATATATATATATTTATATATATATATATATATATATATATATATATATAGAAACTGGAGTATTTATAAAACTAACAACGGGACGAATGGGAATGCCCTCTTTGTCTATCTTTGGTAAACCATACAATCTGGGTGCTAATGGGTTACTAGGTATTTTGTAATATGGAGCATCGTGTTCTGAAAGAAATTCTGTGAAAAGTTTATTGGTGGCTTTGATTTTGTTAATGAACTTTTTTGTTCGATCTTCAGGGAGTAGAATAAAACTGTTATCAGAAAGAAATGTAGTGACCTTGTCGTTGTATAAATCTTGATCTATACATCTTGATATCGATCTATTGAACCTTGAATACAGATGTAACGGAGGTTTCAGAAAATTTTTTCGAATGTCGGAAAGTGAATTTGAATATTTGTTGCAAAAAATCGGGCCAAAAATTTGTAGGCAAGACACCAATTGTAGACATGCCATTCCAACAAAGGAGGGTCTCGCTGTGACATTACGATTTTTATGTAGTGGAGATTCGTATCACTCACTGATGTATCTCTTCAAAATTTCAAAACAAGCAATTTCTCAAATTATTCCGGAAGTCTGCGATGCCCTTATTGACACATTACAAGATTACATAAAGGTAAGTAGAGTTTTACTAAAACTACATTCATACTGAAAGAGGTATATTATAATTACATTATCGAATTTTATTAACTAAAACGAAACTTACAAAAACGTACCAAAGTAGTAAAATGTAGTGAACTAATTCAGAAATAAAACTAAGTTTTCAAATAAATGTACGTATCAAACACAAAATTAAAAATAATGCTGGTTATATCTACTGTGCTTATTGTGAAGTGACACATGAAGAATGCTCTGGGTATGGTTGCGGTATTAAAGTCGTTATTGAACCAACAGGATACTGCTGGAGCTGATGCTGAGGATAATATTGCGGTGGTGGCTGTTGTGATACTGGATAGTTGTAATTGCCCAATTTTCCTTCAAACAGAATCGTGCTTATCATGTGTTGCACTGTAGCTTGAGTATAAGCGGTAGGCAAATTTCGTAATGTAACAGCAACTTCTTCTCCAAATACGCTTAAGACGTCCTTTTTATTTCTATCCAAAAACATCTGTGTCATTATCCTGTATGCATCATTAACCATTGGGTCATCACCTTTCCTTTTCTTGGAATGCACATGGTCAAGATTTGGTGACTTGAACTGTTTTTTCGGACTTGTGTTTCTCTTTGTGCGTTCAACTTTTTCGGCATTTCCAGCATTTGCATTATTACATTCTGCTAGATTGTTTTTTGTTGAATCATTTGTGGTAATAAAATCGTGACTATTCTCATCATTTTCAGTGATGTCATTCACATCTCCTTTATCTTCCAAAGTATCTACTTCAGTTGAAACCTGTAATCAAGAGTATATATATTAGATTAATTAGAAATTAAATAGGTTAGATAATAAAAATAAATAGGTCTTTTTATTTCAGATGCCTAAAACTGAGGCAGAATGGAAAGCTATTGCAGAGGACTATTACAATCGTTGGAACTTTCCAAACTGTGTCGGAGCTATGGACGGAAAACACGTAGCATTGCAAGCCCCAATAAATAGCGGCAGTGAATTTTTTAATTACAAAGGATTCTTCAGTATTGTTTTATTTGCCATAGTCGATGCAAATTATAATTTTATTTATGCCAATGTGGGATGCCAAGGGCGTATTTCTGATGGTGGTGTGTTTAGTAGCACTGTATTCAATAAATTTTTAGAAGAGAATACAATGCATTTGCCTGCGGAAAACCTGCTTCCAAAGAGTGATGTAAAAAGCCCATTCATTTTTGTGGCAGATGATGCATTTCCTCTGTCTACAAACATAATGAAACCTTATGCAGGGCTTCACCCTAAAGGTTCTAGTAAAAGAGTATTTAATTATCGCGTTAGCAGGGCCCGGAGATTATCTGAAAATGTTTTTGGCATAATATCTAGCGTATTTAGAGTTTTTCGCAAACCAATACTATTAGAACCGACTACTGCTTCTAAAATAATCTTAACAGCATGTTATCTGCACAACTTTCTTAGAAAAAGCGCATCCAGGAATATTTACAATCCTCCTGGAACATACGATGCTGACTGTTCTGACACCACAGACTCGATTCCAGGAGCTTGGAGAAGTGAAGTTTGTAATCAACCTGTATTAGTAAACTTAGCAAAAATACCCAGAAAAAGTGCACTAAGTGCTCTACATGTGAGAAACGTGTTAAAAGACTATTTTATGACACCAGAAGGAGAAGTGCCTTGGCAATACTTAAAGTGATAAAATGTGTATTAATATTATGTAGCCTAATAAAAAAGACATTGTAGGTGTAAAATATATTTAATTTATACATACCTCTGAATCCAACGTCTCTCTGGTCTTATTTTTGTCACGTAAAAATCTTAAATAAGCAAACCATTTACTTTTGTACACATCATCCGTGCCACTGCCAGATTTATTGCCATCCTTTGTTTTTTTTATTTCTCTTGCTAACTGACTTTGAAGATTTTTTATTTTTTGTTCTACCACTTGCTTTTCTATGTTAAATTCACTGGCAATTTCCATCAAAGCATCGTGCCTCATGTTTCGATCTTTATAATATTTGCTCCTAGTGTTTCATAGATTTGTTTTTAATTTATAAGCTTCAATAAATGCAATTTTCCCATTCCATTTTGCCAACGTACAAAACACGAGACTTTAAATGAGGCAGACTACACCGCACGCTGAATTATTTTTACTGTATTTTTATATAATGTCGAAGGTCGAACGTCGAATGCACGTAGACACTTCCGATTCGACTCGGCTACCCTTTAATTTTACCGACAGAGCACGGAAAACCAGTCGACACGTCGATTGACATCTTTTGTCGATCGACAAAGTCGATTGCCGCGTACACACTCAGTCGAGAGTGTCGATAAACACATTAAACACAGTCGATCGACAACGTCGACTCAATGAGGACGCCGCTTTATATGCATTATGTTCAACCGTAGGCATTCCGCATCGAGATAAGAAATATTCAAGGACGTTGCTCTACACACTAACTAATAAAATAAGTAATTTTTATAAGTGGAGTATCTTACTCTTGTATAAAAACTTGATTGTTTATCATTAAGTTTATCGTCCACGTACTTTATAGTCACAATAAAAATATATTCGTTATCCTATTTTATATTTAGACTAGATAATTTTAAGTCCATTATCAAGGTAGTTGTATTTGATTAACATAAATGCTTTTAATTAACTAGCAGTTAAAAAAAATATTAACAGTACACTAACCGCTTCGGACAATGTATGTTGTGACATTATTCGATAAACAGTGTTTGTTATTAATGTAACTGAAAATTTAGTTAAATCGTTTAGAGTGCTTAAACAATGAGTAAAAATTTTATTAAACTTCAACAAATAGCAAAATATGCAACAATGGCTGATGTACAGGCGAGGTTTGTTTTACCGAAGAGATATGAAGGATCTGGACCCAGTGTGTGGTGAGTATCTAAAAACTGTAGCTTTTATTTATTTACTTTGTTAATTTCTGTTTTTGAACAAAATTTATCGAAAAATTAATAAATTAGGTACATAGCTTTTTTTAATTCAAACAATTTAATCAAAGTTTAATTAATCGATGTGTCTTCATGATTTGCTCTATTAGCGGCGTTTCCTATTTAATCGTTGTATTAATCTGATTTAATTGAGTAAATTTCAGTAATTGCCTTTACGAGCTTTTTTACTAAGGTTTGAATCACATTATTTATAAATGGAATTTCCAGGTCACGGCAGCTTGTTTCATATTGTGTGTAGGATTAATTAAATATTCAGTAGTTTTTAAATGTTTATTAACAAACACATTTTTACATATATATAATGACAGTGTCTGTTGATATTCTGATAATAAGGATAGTAACAGTGTTGCCAACTATTACTATATTTTACTATATTTTTACATGATAATTTGTTGTGAGAGCGCTTTTCTACTAATACTATAAGTATAAGTATATATATCAAGAAGTAAATTTTGAATATTGGGGTTTCAGCAATAAAAAATGAAACGTGTACTCTTCTAAAATTTATGTTCCTAGCTTTCGGACATTGGTTATGTCCTTCATCAGGGAGAAACTTAATGAGGTTGTATCTTCAATGATTTTATATAATGTTTATAAAATTTATCACAGTCTGTCATATTTTTTACATAAAAACTATTCCTATATTTAAAATTTTTTTTATTACTTCACAATCACAAACACTTAATTATTATACACACATTCATGACATTTTTATTCTTAATTTTATTGTATCGTCATTAGAACTATTATTATTTATATTATTACTCACTGAAACTTCGCAATGTTAAATCGAAGAATATACGAAGTGATGGTAATAAAGTAAAAAAAATAATACATACATATAGAATAGTTCTGCACCATTTTCGTTTTAGACGTCCTCGTTATATTTTTGCTAAATACCAGGTATTACTTGATTGCGTATTCGAACTCTAAAACCCCCAATAATATCATCTTCCTTCTGACTTGATCTACTGCTTGTTGTAATTGGTAATAAAACGCTTCTCTTGTTGTTTGAGCTTTGTTATTTTCTGGGCCGTATGCTCAGATGATTCCAGGGAATACTTATACTGGAAAATAATGTTAGAGAGGATCGCTGGGAATGAAATGTTAGAAAACGATAACATCAGGAAAGCTGGGAAAAACTCAAAAATAACATAATTAACGCAGCAACAGAATGACTTGGAGAGAGGAAAGTAACGAACACTAACATATCAAAAAGAAAACACCATGGTTTATAGAGGAAGTAAAGACAAAATGTAAAGAAAAGAAGAAAGCCTTTTTACAATACTGAATACAAGAAACACAACAGACCTACAACTACTATAAACGAATCAGAAACGTATACTTTAAATACATAAAAAGCGAACACTGGCAGAGCTTCTCAAAACAGATGGAACACGACATCTACGGAACACAAAAAGAAATATGAGGAATGTTCAGACGACAAAGAAAAGAGATGAACAAACTGATAAAAACGAAACACATTCATAAGGACATACGGGTAGACTACTTTCGATCCCTATTTGCTAAAGGTGACGATAATGACCCACCAACACCAGAGGTGACAACAAACTAAGAAATAAATATTGAGGAGGAATAGGTAAAGAAGTATTAAGGAAATTAAAAAATAGAAAATCACCAGGAGAGGACAGAATACCGAACGAACTTCTAAAGTACGGAGGACCAGATCTGACCAAACAACTATTAAAACTAATCCAAAAAATAATAGAACAAAACAGAATTTCTCAAAAATGGAGATCAAACATCTTAATATCTTTTTTCAAAAGGGGAGGCAAATCGAAACAGAAAAATTACAGAGGAATTAATTTTATTAAACACGACACTTAAATCAACAACCAAAGTGATAACAAATAAGCTGAATGAAATTAAACACTAGCAGAAGAACAACAAGGTATTAAGTTGGAAAGATTATGCACCCACGCTATATTATTTTATAATAAGGCAAGTGCAAGCTACCTCATTAGACTACAACAAACCAGCATACCTATGTTTCGTGGACCTTAAGAAGGAATTTGACAGGGTCAAATTAAAAGACATTATCCACTTACTGTAAGCAAGAGAGACACAAAAATCAAAATTAGAACGAAATGCAGAATTTACAAAACAGTCATCACATCAATAATGCCATGCGCGGAAGAAACAAGACCTGACACAAAGGATATTAAATCAGCACAGATGAAACAGAAAAATTTATGGTAAGACACTATGGGATAGAGCTAGAAGCATAGATATACGACGTATATGCAAGGTGGAGATCACCTGGAACTGGATAAGAAATGGATGAGTAGAATGGAAGCCGAATGACAACAAATAGAGTAGTAAAGACGGCAAGAGACGGTTCTTCAATAGGAAGATGATCAGTAAGAATAGGGATGGAACGACAACTTACTGGAAACACATTGAAAAGCAGAAAAGTCATGTCTATAAAAAAAAAAGAAGAAGATAAAGAGGATAGTTCTAAAAACTTATATTTATATACTTACATCATAATATTAAATTATGTTATTCACTTTTATAATCAGATACACTATCGTCACCGCTAGTCGACCTTGACAACACACGCAATTTACTTTGTAAGAACCTTAGTTTTCCCGCAGAATCCTAACCTAACCTAAAGGTGCATTTAAAGCAAAGCAAACACAAACACACGAACAAAGAACACCTAAGAATTCGTAGTTGTTCGCTTGGTCATTTCTGTTCTACAAAGTATGAACATTTACATTGTAGCGATAGCGAACGTTGGGATTTGTTGATGATCCACCCGCAATGTCGGATAGGTACCTACAGATGAATATGTAATCATTAGCTCTGCTAGTTTTATAGTTATTGCAGGACTTTCCGAAAAAAAAATGGAAGAACAGAAGGTGGTGTTCAAATTTGTTACAAAATAGAAAAAAAAGAGGTGATTTGTTAATTGATTTAACGACTGACAATTTAGTTTAAGTTGCAAATTTCTGTACAATGTCTGTGGATAATTTTGAAATGAAATTTGAAAGCAAACCACGTAGAATTATAAATTGTGTTAGTCTCACTACCTGACTTTTTTTAATATCCTTCAAAGCTCTTTTTATCTTTCCAGTAGCAAAGTAATCTTTTTTTACTTCAGATACATTACAATTTATATCAGATCTAAAATTTTATCAAAACTTTCAAAATTCGTTCTATACCTGTCTCGGAGATTACAACCGAAGTTGTCGCGCAGAAGCTCCTTAAGGGATGGATATCTTGATTTGGCGTGCCACCAACCATAACAACGGACCGAGGTAGGCAATTTGAGAGCCAATTGTTTCGCCATCTCAATGGATTGCTAGGTGTACAACATATTAATCGTCGCGGACACAGTATCGTGGGTTGAAGCCCTTTCTCTGGTCCATGGTCCCATGAGACCATGGGAGCATTGCGTCGTCATGTATCGACGAGCAACCACTCAGCCCGCCCTGCTTTTGTCCATCCGGATTTACAGACTACGAGTCAAGTTTTTAACTGTGGATGTCCAAAATGTTCCTCAGCGAATTTCCATGGACCGACTCAAACCAGCGTATATTCCAGCGGCCCAACAGGTACAGGAAGAACATGCATATGCCAACCGTCTGATAAGCAACAAAAGTCAACATAGCCGTTCGAAACCAGCAGGTTTCACACTGGAGGGGAGCCCTGTGGCAGATTGACAGTTAACCACTAGCCACACATGGGTTGACTGTGCTACCGAAGTGAGGGAACGTCGACGGAGAAAAAAAGAGGAGATCAGAGCCAGCTGATGACTGTCAGAACACGATTACACCATGGGATAACAACGAAAAGAACTCTTACAGTTTTCCTACTTGTTTTTTAGAATGTAGTTTATTGTTAATAAATCAATAAAACAGTTTAAAGTGTGCCCAGACTAACTTGCTTCCCACAAACAGGCCACATAATCAAACATCTCTTTTTTTTCTGCAAAATAAATGCATACATATCTGCATTTGTAAATTGAAAAAATAAAATGCCTACACATACCATTTATACAATTTTTGCACTGCTTCTCCTTCTTGTAAATCGCACAATTTATAAATTAGATATACATATTTCAACTTATGAATATTCTTCAAATTGTATTCGAAATCGCATGTCGCTATTGGCCCGATGTGTTCGCTTTCCGGCATCGCAATCGCCATCGTTGACACTAAAGGTCAATTCAGACACATCAGTCACGTCTCGTCACAGTGATTGCGCCGAATCGGACAATCCGTCATACAAAATATTCTTTAATACAAATATGTTGCCGGCATTCACACTCATCAGTTGACAAACAGTTTCCCAGCTGTCAGATAGTTGATAGTTCTGTGACCAAATAGGACCGGTTCGGTACCGTGACTGTGACGTGACTGATGTGTCTGAATCGACCTTAACAGAGAACTACGAACGTGTTCGTAGTTCTCTGACACTAACATAATCGTGGTCCCTTAAGGTCGATTTAGACACATCAGTCACGTCTCGTCACAGTCCTGGCGCCGAACCGAACAATCCGTCATATAAAATATTCATTAATAGTTATGTGACCAAACAGGACCGGTTCGGCGCCGAGACTGTGACGATACTGATGTGTCTGAATCGACCTTTAGATGTAAACACTTCTCATGTCCTTCTGTCCCTATATGGTAGGCAACCATAGATACACTAACACAACATAAACTGAATAATGAAACTTTTTGCAAGCAATCAGTAAACTTAAAATTTCTTTTTTAAATTTATGAATTAGACGATTATGCAAATGACATGCTCCTTGAGACAAATGAAACAGGTCTTTTGTTTTATATGATCGTGATATTACCTGTTGTTTTGCTTTTATTATTACACCAAATTAAGGAAAAACGAAGAGAGTTAAATCTAGAAAAGCCTTTATTATTTCTTTTTCAGGACGGAATACATTCAAATGGCTATAGATTATAAACCCCTCAATCTTGGACAAGGTTTTTCAGATTATCCTCCTCCTGAATACATTATGGCTAATCTAGCCCAAGTTTCACTTTCTTCAAATCCATTAATGCACCAGTATACCAGAGGATTCGTAAGTATTTTTACTTATCATATTTTGTTATGTGCCCACAAGAATAATATGGTCATGGAAAAAAAGATATATTGAAATAAGTAACAGACGAAATAAAAATAAAAATGATCGTACCAAGTAAGAAATGGATGTTATTAAAAAAATGATGGCGTACAAACTGGATATCTAAAAGTTTATGTACAATTTAGTTGGACAATTGCGAAAATGTATACTTTATTTCTTCTTCTTTTTGTTTAGATGTGACTATCTGTTTTTCAAAGTGCCTTCAGTAAGTTGTCGTTCCATCATGTTCCTACTGATCGTCTTCCTGTTGGAGAACCGTCTCTTGCCGTCTTTACTACTCTATTTGTTGTCATTCCGCTTATGTGATCGTTCCATTCTACTCTTCTATTTCTTACACAGTTCGTGATGTTTTCCACCTTGCGTATCTACCGTATTCCGTTCTGAGTGTTTTTTAGAGTGTTAGACTATATTCCATACGACAAAAAGTAACATAGGTTGCCTAATACACAAGTCATCCTCTTAAATATGACTTTAACACCATTGGTGATTTCACATCGATTATAACCCAAATTTTAAATCCCAACACCTAGATTGCTGTTATTATTTTTTAAAATCATCAAAATAATTTTTGAATCTTTTGGCTGTAGTAATACTAGGTATAACTAATATAGTTCTATGTTACATTGACATTTTGGTTTTGACACCGTTCACAGGTATATTGTAAATCAGTCTCCAGCTGTTCTCCGTGCGTAGAGGTTTTCTCCCGGGCTCTGGAACTCAATTTTTACAATGTATGTTACCTGAAGTCATATTTAATTTAATACTGAACATCACAGTTTTTAAACAACAAGATGTATAATCTTTTATAACTATATGTAATTTAAATGGTTTTTACCCATGTATTTTGGTGGCTCAGGCATTTTAACCTAGTAAGTATAGCCATTTTTGTTTTTTAACCATAGTCAACATTTCATAACCACGTTTGTTTTAACTAAATGGTTTATACTTATTTTAGGCGATTTTAAAACCTGATGATGGACTGTTTAGTCCGAAAACGTTTGTTTTTTTGATGTAGCCCTTTTACGGGTTTTTAAATAAATATACCCACTTACGAAGACTAACCTCTTTTTTTGTGATACGTGGTATACAGCCAGCTACAGGAATTGTTTTCCTTGTGGATTTAATTTTTATAAGTCTTCATTCAAATATGAGCAAAAGTTTTTCATCTGCCTTTGGGATGTTCCATGTTTTCAATCCATTATGTCAGGAGTATTAGTATAAGGGTTTTATATATTGTTATTTTTGTTTTCTGGCTTGGTTTTACTTTTTATGTGTTAACGCATAGCAAAATAGCTCTTATTTGTCAGAGTTTTTCTCCGTTTTATTTCTTTTGTTATGGTTTTATCATTGGTCATCAGGGAGCTTGAAGAGCAATTAAAAGTTTTTGAGAGAAAGATTATTACAAAAATACTGGGACCAAAGAAGATATGATGCAAGAGAATAGATGAATCACGAAATACAAGAATAGATGGGTCAAGAGAACATAGTTAGAGCAATAAAACAACAAATAATTAGATGGTATGGACACAATGCGAAGAGACAAGAGCAATCCGTTAAGAGTTATAACGGAATTGATACCACCAGGTAAAAGTACCAGAGACAGACCTACACTGAGATAGAGACAACGAGTAGAAGAAGACTTAAGGAGTATGGAAATTAAAAATGTAGAAAGCACAATCAAAGAGACAGAAGAAAGCAGTGGAAACAGCAAAGTCACACCAGAAACTGTAAAACCAAACCAACAAGGGAAACCAAGTGAAAATAGCTTCAGCTTTTTCGGGATGACGTTAGTCAGCTTGGTTCTTCTCCTTCTTGTATCTCGTAGAATTATTCTCTGTGTGACTGACTCTCTGTGTGACTTAGAAGCCGATGTTTCTGAATCTATAAACGGGTGTCTCATGCCATCATTTTGTTTTTTTTTATTATTTGTAGGTCTATATTTTTTTAGGTATTTCATAAAATGGTATTCATGTCTTCCAGCTTGCCTGTTTTACGAGCAATTAGACATAGATCATCTGCACAAGCCATAATTTGAAAGAATTTGTTAAAAATCTGCCTCTGTTATCTATTCTTTAGCGTCTTTAAGCGGCTTTTACGAGACTATGTTGAAAAGGAGTCGCGCCTGCGCATCTCTCTGGCGCATTCCGTTAAGACAGTTTTACATTATGCTATTTTCATGCTAGGCAAGAGCCATGCAAGACAGATCATGGAACTGCGCATGTCCACGGGCTATTTCCATGCAATTCCTGTGCTAAACGAAAAATTAGAACATGTTCTATTTTTCATGCTATTTTCTTGGAATTTATCGTTAAAATTCATGTTGCCAACATAACAATTTATATTACATTACAGAATAAAACTTAACCTTATCTCTATTTAGGAGCTTAAGGAAAGTGGACTCGTTCATTCGAAGAAAGTTTTTAAAACTTTTAAGGTCTGTAGCATCCAAGAACTCCTGGGGTAACTTCAAATTTCCCAGTCCTGCATTCAACCAAGGTTTGACCTAGCATTTTCAAGGTTTTTTTTTATTATTTTTCATGATTGTTGCTACAACAGCAATATTCAACAATAACAATGTTTTTTTTTTCTTTGGTTGACATCCTTCACCCTTTTAATAACCATAAATAGTGTATATTTATTTATTATATTATTTATTTTAGTACTTAATTATATTTATTTAAAATAAAATATCCTCAAATTGTTAAATATTTTCTCTGTTGGCAACAATGAAAGTGGGATCTAAAATTGCACAGAAATATCTTTGATGTAAAAAGGTCAAGCTAGGCAAGAGATGTGCCATGCAAGACGGACTTGCATAGCATGAGACTTGCATAGCCTAGATGTAAAGCTGCCTTTACGAATTTCAAACGTTTGTGATTTTTCACCCAGTATTTTTATTTTTCAAACCAGTTTACGCATTCTAGCCCTTACCAATCTTACTAGTTTGTGCAAAATTCGTCCACAGCCTTATAAAATTTACTTCGTAGTACACTGTCGTATACTGTGTTACAATAGATGACGCACTTAGGCGACCATATAGAATACTCGAAAATATTATGTATATTGTAATAAGAAGCGGTGTACTCCTATAATTTCTGCATTACAATGCATAACGGACAAACAATTTTAGTACACAACTCATCCGAAATTTGTTCCTCCTTTCAAGCTCTTACTGTTGAATCTGATTAGGAAGACTATCGCCCCCACATTTAATAAGTTTTGTAGGTATACCGTCACTTCCTGGGCTTTTATTATTTTTTAGGTGTTTTATTGTGTCTCGTACTTCTTGAATTAAAAGAGATTCTAATAGTGAATTGTTTTTTGATTCTGGAGGTGGTGGATTTTCATCTTCAACTTCGGTGGAAACTAGATCTTTATAATTTTCCACCCACCTATCTAATACGTCTTCTGTTGTATTGAGTATATTTCTATTCTTATTTTTACATATTTTCAGGTTTGGTTTAAACTCTTTTCTTGCATTATTAAGAGATTTATAAAATTTTCTGGTTTAGTTTTGCCTTTTTAATGACTCAAGATCTTCCAATGTTCCATTTTTAAAAGTTAGCGTTTTTCTTCTCAGTGAGTACTTCCCTTCTCTTCAAAGATCTTTATAATGTTGTTTCTTTTTTTGTTATTTATGTTTATATGCATTATTCTTCTTTTTTACTGGCTTTACAACTTGGGGTGAGTCTTCGCCGCATCCACTATCGCCCTCTATCCTCTACGATCTTGCGCTTCTATTTTCCATTGTTGTACCCCAATTCTAGATTAATCGGCTTCAACATCATCCTTCCATCTTTTTCTTGGTCAGCCTATTGATCTTCTTCTTCTCTGGTCGTATCACGTACCGCATCTTATTCGGTTTGCCTTAATATAACTATGTTTTCAGTTCCATACAGAGTCACCAATTCAGCATTGCGGTGTCTTCTCCAATCCCCTGTGAATACATCTCTTTGAGGGCCAAATATTATTCTGAGAACCTTTCAAATTCTAAAAGCTTATTGATTACCCACTGGTTGAGGGTCCATGTTTCACTGCCATATGTAATAATTGGGCGAATAATCGACTTTAACAGTGTTAATTTAGATTTTCTTTTTAGCAGCTTCGATCTTAATAATGTTGAAAGGGAGTATAATGCTCTATTTGTCGCAGCTATCCTTGCTGAAACCTCTTTTTCTATGTGGTTGTCAGCTGTGATTATCACCCCGAGGTATTTAAACTCCTTTACTACTTCGAAGTTATGATCATTAATACTGATGTTCTGCTTAACTCTTGGTCTTGAATATATGCATTATTGAGGATATTCTTCTAATAATATTCTCACACTCGGCATCGAACCAATTATTGCGTGGTTATCGTCTTTTACATCCTAGAATATTTAATATTGTTTTTGCATGTTTCCCACTTTCATTTGTTGTCAGATTCTCAATAATTATATTTTTATTTTCAATATAGTTTTTAAACATTTCTTCTTCTTATAGTGCCGTTTCCTTACGAAGGTTGTCAATCATAATGCCTAACAAATCAATCTAAAAAATTCTGCCTTTGACCAACTTATCTTCTTTCTTGAATCTTTCTCTGATATCCTTGAACTGAGAGGTTCTCTCCATATTTAGATTTAAGTAAAGACTAATATCGCTGATTCTCTATTTTCAGGGCCATCCCAGACTTGTCAAAGCAATAGCAAACCTTTATTCCCCATTGATAGGAAGAGAGCTCGACGAAAGAAATGAAGTTATTACTACATCTGGTGCATACGAAGCACTTTTTTCTGCTATCTCTGGACACACAGATAAAGGAGATGAGGTTATTGTACTAGAACCATTTTTTGACTGCTATGAACCAATGATAAAATACGCCGGGGGTGTTCCAGTATTTATTCCACTTACACCGGTAAGTTTATAGAGTATCTATATTTATTCAGTAATCAAAGAGAATTGATTAAACTTGTTTGATTATCTAACTTTGATCAATTGTTTATATATCTTTATATTTGTAGAGTGTAACATTTATATTTCGTTTTTAAGAAAGAATCTCATGGTAAATTACCAACATCGGCCGATTGGACTTTCGACAAACTGGAGCTAGAAAAGGCATTTAATGAAAAAACAAAAATGATCATTGTAAACTCGCCTAATAACCCACTGGGAAAAGTATTTTCAATGGAGGAATTAACGTTTATTGCAGATCTATGTAAGAAATGGAATGTTCTTTGTATTTCGGATGAAGTGTATGAATGGATTGTTTATAAGCCTCACAAACATATTAGAATGGGTACGTATTGTATTTGAACTAGAAGAATAAAATAACTAATAGTTTATTATTAATTTTAGTGTCAGTATCCATTTAACAAATAATATATTATTGATAACTCTGACTGTTTCACTTCCTTGTAAAAGTGATATGTACTTTATGGCATACTTCTAATTTGACTGATTTTATATAGGGGAAGTGTGCCTATGTTGGACCCCTGCCTATGACGGACCCCCGGCTGTAATTTTAAATAGCGCGCGGTTACATACACATCGCCGGTTGCCGCTTGCGCACGAAGTTTGTAGTTTAGTATTTGCAAAGTTTCAGACACGTGGCTGTTATAACAGTAAATTTGTGAAATAAAATTAAAATTTGGCGTTGCTGATCTAATAAATTTTTTTGGTAAGTAGCATTTTACTGGTAACATACGTTAAGGTAAGTGTTGCTTTTGTTTTGTATAAAATGACTACACTTTCTTTGTCAAATAGTATACTTTGTTTTAGGTTAAAATGGTCAAAACAAAAGTAACAGAATTAAATTTGCTGCCTTGTCTATTTGCCTATGATGGACCCCTGTGTCGTTACCTATGACGGACTAGGGGTCCATCATAGAAAAAAGAAAATAAAATTGGACACACCTTCAGTTTTTGTTACTTAATGATTAACATAATATGTTTTACAGGGATGGCTCTACAAAAAAAGCAACAGTGGAACGAGAGTAATATGCAACAAGCTTTAAAAAGCATACAAGAAAAAACTATGGGGTTTAAGCTGGCAGCAAAAACATTTAACGTTCCAAAAACGACTTTGAAAAGGCGCTTTATTAAGCATCAAGGAAGTATCAAAGGTGATTTGGGAGGATGAAGACCAATATTCTCCACTACTATTGAACAGGAAGTTGCTGACCATACTAATACTATGGAAACTCGTTTTTTTGGCCTGCCTAGTAAAGATTTGCTAAAACATGTATACGAAGTAGCTGAAAGAAACAATATTAGCCACAATTTTAATAAGGAAACCAGGATGGCAGGCTGGAAATGGGTCAGAGGCTTTTAAAAGCGAAATCCTCGAATATCATTACGCACTCCAGAAAATACTTCGTTGGCAAGGGCTCAAGCTTTTAATAAACCAAATATATGTGCCTATTTTACTGCATTAGCAAATATATGAGACGAGTTTCACTTTCCACCGGAAAACATTTATAATATGGAGAGTCCGGTTTGACAACTGTGCATAAGAAATCGCAGAAAATTTATGCTAGTAAAGATCGCAAACAAGTTGGTGCTTTAAGTAGTGCAGAGCGCGGTCTACATGTTACGGTCGTATGTGCAATTAATGCAATTGGAACATATATGTTCCTCCTGCTTTGATTTTTCCTCGACAGAGAAAGAAAGATGAACTTATGATCGATGCACCTACTGGAAGTATAGCCTTCGCTCAAGAAAAAGGATGGATGACTTTCAATATTTTCTATTTGTGGCTGCAACATTTTTTAAGGTATACTAAATGCTTCTAAAGCCAACAAAGTTTTGTTGTTACTCGATGGCCATGGTAGTCACAAAAGTTTTGAAGCTCTCCAGTTTGCAAAGGAAAACGGTATTATTATGTTTTGTTTTCCTTCTCACTGTTCTCATCACGTTCAACCCTTGGACGTAGGAGTTTTTAGACCACTTCAAATTTACTACGGCCAAGAAATTCAATTATGGCTGCGACAGAATCCAGGTAAAACGGTGACCCAATTTAAAGTAGCCAGTCTCTTTAATAGAGCGTATTTAAAAAGCGCTTTACCATCAAATGCAATCAATGCATTTAAAAAGACAGGAATACAACCATTCAATCCAGATGTCTTCGAGGATTGGCAATTTTTGCCGTCTATAACAACAGATAGAGAAAATTCTGAACAAAACCCACTGCCAGAATGTTCTGACCAGAAGTCACCACCGGAACATTGGAGCCAAAATGTTTCTTTGATTGAAAGTTTATCAAAAAGCCCCACTGATCAGAAATCAACATCATCGTCAGTTCTAAACATCTCGGTAGAAGATATTTGTCCTCCTTCTTTAGCTGGAGTATCTCAAGTAATGCAGAAAAGGGGTAGAAAACGGGGTAAAGCAGGATATTTAAATTCAACGCCAGAAATTGAAGATATAAAACAAAAAATTGCAGACAAAGAAGCAAAAAAAAAGGAAACAAGACGCCAGAAAAGTGAAAAGGCAAGTTCGTGTTTCAACTACAAGTGGTTCTGAAGACGATTGTGAATGCTCTTTTGTAGAAGGCGACTCGGACGATGCAGCTTGCATCTACTGTAACGAACTATTTTCGCATTCACGATCCAATGAAAAATGGATTCGTTGTCAAGTGTGTAAGAATTGGTGTCACACCGAATGTGCAGATGTAAATCCTCGACATAAACAATGTGTGTGTGAATTGTGCGCGTAATTTTTTTATTCTTAAAAATACCATGTGTAATATTTTTTATCGTTTGTAATGTCTTTTGATCTAATAAAATAATTTGGTATTTAATTATTTTACACAAAATGCAACGAGTTCATCATGGGCGTACCAAAGGGTCCATCATGAGCGCATATATGCCCATGATGGACCCTTAACAGGATTTTAGTAAATTATGAATAAATTTTTAACATCACTTTTTCTGCAAAATTTGAAACATTTGCCATATTATACAAATAACGAGACGTTATGTGGTCATATTTAAAGTCTGTTAAGTAAATAATTAAAATTATTATGAAGCTATTTTCTTAAGGGGACCATCATAGGCATATTTCCCCTACTTTTAGCCTGCGAATTTTGGGAATTCTTTTTTTTGTAGAACATTTGGTAGAACAACATTCATTTTTATTTTAAGTCTTTAAGACAAATATTCTCTGTACACTTCTTTTCTTTTTTATTTACTGAATGGTAATGATCTTTTATGTAGTACTATTCTTAACAACACTGAAGTGTCAACTGTTACGCTATCTTGATTGTCTGTGTTGGTTTTCTGTAAATAAATTGCACCTTTTTAAAAGCATCCCTGAAGTTTAAAACAGAGATTTTCCAGAACAGAACATCGATTTAAAATATTTTAATCTCACACCTAATTTAACGTGTTGTTTTGTAATTTTTTAGCTACGTTACCTGGCATGTGGGAAAGAACCATTACCATTGGATCTGCTGGAAAGTCATTCAGTGTAACAGGTTGGAAGGTGGGCTGGGCGTACTGTCCGGAGTTTTTAATGAAAAACCTACAGATCGTCCATCAGAATAGCGTATATACTGGAGTTACTCCAATACAGGTATTTATAATACTAAATATCGAGGGTGATACATAGGAAAATTGTATTTTGTACATAAATTTTATATATCTATCTTTGTATAGTTCTTCGTTCAGAATTATTTGTTTCTATAGTCGTCCAGATCAAATATCATGGCTACCAATTATCTCTAAATAATTAGAAAAGATACTGGCAATAAGAATACAATGTATAATTGACTAAAAACAAAAGTTTTTCCTCTCATCAGTTTGGATTATGTAACAAACTGCTGACTTATTTTCCTAGACATATCAAAGTGGTCCAAAGGTTTGTTACTTTAAATAAGAAAGTATCTCTCCACTCATTACAACCACAGAATACACCAACTTAAGTGTTGGTTGGTGTATTCTATGCTACGACCAAATAAAACACTTATACTTGAAAGATAATACCTTTAGAGTCAAACAAGAAAGCGCATCTTCAGAAATACGGCTTATTAACCGTTATGTCTATATCTGAGTACCTGATATGGTAGCATACACCCGTGCTGATGGTACAAAGAATAACAGGTATGATACTCCCGAGAGAGAAATTGGGACGAGTTCACGCATTACGTCACAATGAGAGACATTTTAAATATTTTCCTTAAGAACGTTAGCAATCAGAACACAATTAATTTTTAATTGGCACTAAAAAGTCATATTAATGGATTAATAGAGTTTTTATTGAACTATTCTGGATTTCAATATAAGGTTGAATGTTCGAATAATTAAACTTTGAGGGTATACAAGGCAACTATCGAACACGGTGATTAATTTAATCTTGCCCAAGTACTTTCGATCAATAGATCATCTTCAGGGGCATTTCGTCAGTTGTGGCCTATCCGACATAGTAGAATGTCATAAATGTAAAATTTGGACATAACAATACAAAATACAATACAAAAAGACAAACAAACACTTTAAAATTTTAAGGATAAGCTACATGTTGTATAGAAGCCGGAGACAGAATTCCTTGCAATAATTTTCTTGACTAGAAAAGATGTACACGTCACTACTGAACTTCACTTGTCTCTCGTCGCAGACTCCTTTGAGGTCAATGCTTTTCAAACAATAACCTGATAATTCTATTAAATTTTTGAGTAAGAAATAATTAATTGTGACTATTCGAATCAAAAATTTAATCTAATCATTAAAATTTCCATTTATATTGAGAATATTCGTAAAAATTTCAGGAAGCTGTAGCTATAGCAATGGAGAAAGAAATTGGGAGATTTGGACGTGATGATTGTTATTTTTTTTCTTTACCAAAAGAATTAGAAGCCAAAAGGGATTATATGTCTAAGATGCTAAAGGACGTTGGAATGATTCCCAATGTCCCTGATGGAGGCTTCTTTATGTTAACCGATTGGTCTCCTGTTGGTAAGTATTTTTGCTTGTCAAAAACTGTATGTTCAAGAGAAATATCTAAGAATACCGGTATAAGAATCAAATATGTGTAGCATAAGTCAATGATTTTGACTTATAATAACAAAATCGAAAGATTTTTTTTTTTCAGAAGCTGTAACTTTTACACGTCTAGCTTACTTTGCCAACTGAGGAGAGACATATGTGAGACGAACTTGTCGGGACATTGGTTCTGTCAGAAATAGAATAGAAATAACTTCGACAGCGTCATGCAAAACTCACATGCGCCCTGCTCTAGCCAAATCGGAACTTGATAGGTTGTTTGTATTCGGGAGTCCTTGGACTTCACATCCCGGTGGGGGTCTTAGTTACCCATTTATGTTGAAACGGATTCCTTGATTAGATAGGGATCTGGATTTTCTTGGCTTTTTATGACGTCTAATCCCATACAAGAACTTTTTGTCAAAACATCAGTTGTCATAGTTGACCTTGTAAATGCAATTCAAGTTGTGATTCCGCCTTAAATATAAAAATTTAAACAGTGATCAAATAATGATTCTAGCTAATATTGAAATTACAATAGACAAAATGTGTAATTGGGAAAGCAATAGAAACTGAAAAGCATCAAAAAATGTAAATACACAAAAAATGTAAACGGACGAATAAAACTCCGTCCACTTACACACGGACATGACCAACCCCAAGAAGCGCCGCAAATGATTTATGCGAGGCACACAGCTTCCTAGATTTCAGATATTTTCGAACGTCTAGAAGAAATAAAACTAGAGGAAAGGCTGCAAATATGGGCTGGTCTTGTAATATGGGCTAGGTAGGATTCACAGCTATTCGTTGCAGATCTCTACATTTTGATAAATTTCAGTATTTGAAAATAAACACTAATTTCAAAAAAACGTCTGTGTCACGTTGAAGCTCTATAATCAGTCTTTGATATAATGCTAATAAGCCATTGGACAAAACTTACATGGGTGTTCTTAAGGCTTACTACAGCAAAGAGATCCGGGTCTGGTTGCGCCACAATAATCGTCCACTAAGTGCATTTGATGTGTCAGAGCTCTTTGAGAGAGCTTATTTTAAATGCCAAACTGGAGAGATTGCCGTTAATGGATTTAGAGCTACAGGGATTTATCCCTTGAATAAAAACATATTTACAGATGTCGATTTCATGGCAGCTGAAATTGAAGCAGAAAATACTGTGACAGCCGCACCTGATGATGCGAGTGATGAGGATGATAAAGTGATCATCGTTTCAACCGCTGCTGTCAATTCAAATGAACCTACAAATTCTGACGATAACTCTATCAATTTTGAGAGCACACCAGATTGTCGTTCCAGCCACAATAATTTATCATCTAATTCTCCCACTCTTCCATCTGGGCCTAATAAACAGCTTGAAACTATTCCTACAAGTAACACAAAGCTTAATGCTATTTCTGCAACTAGTTCGCAGCTTGTCTCTATTCCCACAACAAGCTTTTACAGAAAGTCTGCCACGCCTTTCGGAAGACCTTCTGCAGAGCTTGGTGTAAAAAGAAAATTATTTGATAATAAGCCCATTCCATCAATTCCTTCCACATCTGGGTCTTTAAGAACATCTCTGACAACACCATATGATATTTCTCCTGTGACATTATTGAAGAAAAAAACCTGCAATCGTGGGCGTAAGCCAAGTAAGTGTTCAGTGATAACCTCTTCACCTTACAAAAATGAACTGATCCAATCTCTCAGCAAAGACAACGGGAAGCAAAACGAAGTAGGAAAAGGCAAAGAAAAAAGAAAAGGAAAAGAAATAAAAAAAGAAAAACGTAAGCAGGTTATCAAAGTCACAAAGAACCAAAAAAAGAAATAGGGTTCTAGTAGCGAGGATGAAGAGGAATATGTGCCTGCAAATGATGAGAGCGATTACAATGAGTTTCCTTCTACACAGCCTACACAAGACGCAGGTGACGTAACGTGTATGTTTTGCGAAGCACTTTTTTCAAAGGATAATCTTGGTGAAATATGGGTCAAGTCATGTGCCATTTGTGGGCACATAACGAGTGCGCTGGGGCCGAAAAAGAAGAATATGTGTGTGACTTTAGCAAATAGATTTTCTCCCAGTAAAAAAAGAAACACACACGTCATTGTCTATGAGTTATTTGATATATTGTTTGTATTTTAGATATTAAAATATATTTTTCACGCATTTATCTCATTTCACACAAATTTAAGACATATTTATCGGGGTAGCCCATATTTAAGATCATTATTCAAACGACGCAAAAGTACAATTTTCCATTATTTGTACGTTTAAAACAGTTATATATTTTTTAATCAATTTGAACTTTGGGCAGGTTATAAGTAACTAAATATAGGTATTCTTACGTACCTTTGGAATTGAAATAGAATTTTTATTCTTTTTTTAGAAAGAAATACAAAATGGGTAGCCCATATTTGCATCCTTTCCTCTAATGTTATTTTTCTTACATAATTGATAACTTAATATTTTCAATTCTTACTGCACAAAAACCAATGGTATTATTGAAAATATAGCTACTAATAGCTATTTATCTTAAACGTAAATGTTTTTTGTGAAAACTATATAAGCATAATTCACATTAATTCTGGATTCTAACAAAAAAAAACACAAGGTAGAAATGACTAAAATTAAATTTTTCCTTTGTGTGACATATCTACATTTTTTATATTTCTTTTGTGCTCATTATTTTGTTTACAGAGTCAAAGGCTGATATGAATTCGGAAACAGATAAATACAAGGACTACAGATTTACCAAGTGGATGGCTAAGAAAATTGGACTTCAAGGAATACCTTGTTCGGCATTTTACAGTGAGCCACACAAACATTTAGTGGAAAATTATGTCCGTTACTGTTTTATAAAGGTAAATTTGTTGTTTTTATTATAGGAAGTGTTATCTTTTTATATTTATCATCCTTGCGTTCATTTGTTTAATATTATTTTTTCTATTTTAGTCTGACGAAACTCTGAAAGAAGCTGAGAATATCTTACAACGATTGAAGGAAACTGACAAATAGATGTATCAAGTTTTTGTGCATCTGCTCCAAATCTATTGTGAATCTTTTGTTAAAACGAATATTTGTATTATTTTTCTTTGTGTACATAAAATAAATAAAATAAAATATTTCGTAAATATGGTATTATTGTTACACAACAAATAAGGGCAGAGGAGCCAGTTCCTATTTTGTCCAAAAAAAAAAAAAGAAAAATAGTGCAAAACTACAATAAAATTACAGGTCTTCTTCTTCAGATGCAAATCCACTAATGGATGTTAGCGATCACATTTTCCATTAATACTCTATTTCTTGCAATATGTATCAGAGATTGTATGTCGTTAATCCCTGTCCATTGCCTTATGTTTCGGAGCCAGGACATTTTCTTGCGTCCCATTTCTCTCTTGCCTTCAATTTTACCCTCGATTATAAGTTGGAGGAACTGGTATTTTTCATTTCGCATGATGTGACCTAGATACGCCGTTTTCCTTTTCTTGATGGTTTCGAAAAGTTGGCGTTCTTGGTTTATTCTTTTAAGGACATCTATATTTGTGATTTTCGCTGTCCATGGTACTTTTAGGATACGGCGATAAAGCCACATTTCGAAAGCTTCTAATATGTTTATATCCCTCGTTTTGAGTGTCCAGCCCTCTATGCCATATAGCAGCACTGACCTTACGTAGCACTTAGTAATTACTTAGTAAAATTACAGCAATTAGAGAAAAATGAGTATGGTAGTATCAAGTCTATTTTTAAAATTGTTTACGGCAATTGCAGATATTATAATGGTGTTCTGATCCAATTTGTGACAGATAATAAATATCCTATTTGGCAAGAACCTCACTCTTGATCTTTCCGTCTTCTATTACCGTTTTAACATGTAATGTTGGCCTCTTAATTTTTTATTTTGGTTTAAAGTAAATAAGTCATTAAAAATTGTGATTGTTCTATCTATATCACAGCTTTCTATGGAATTATCAACATATGTTGAAAGACTCAGCCAAAAAGCCTTCTCTGTATTCCATTTTGAAACAAATGTGTCTTGTGGCTCCAGAGATTGAAAAATTTTATGGGGTGATGGTCGCTTCCATAGGCAGCCCTTTCTAGAATAAGCAAGGAGGTTTCTTCTGAGGCTGAGCTAAACATAGTGGGGGTTTTTATCATTACAAAAAAATTATATTAAGGTTATATATAAGAAATATAAGACTTCGTGCTGGACGGGGGAATGCGATGGTTAGAGATGGCTAGAAAACAATTATTGATGAGGCTAGGATCCACGCAGGGTTGCAATATCAGAATGATGATGATTATGAATTAGGTTTTTTATTATTCTTCCCATCGTTATGGTTATGGTAGATTTAGGCAGGGCCCATTTATGAGTCCTTTAGACACTTAGACCTCCTAAGACGGGTCCATTGTACTTGTATTAGATGATCCTTATATTATATTGTGTCCATTAAAGTCACCTATATACGATAGTCCATGATTTTGTAATTTGTTCTGCTAATTTATCTAATTAGGTGTTAGGCCTTCTTGTATTGTTTTTATTCTAAAGCACACGTTAACCAGTATAAAAGTAGTAATTTAACAGTGGTTCGTTAGATATACCTCGTATAGGTGAAAATAGTCGAAACCAACCAAAACGCCAGTCCAGGTAGTTAAAATAATTTACCCATTTTTCTTTACTTCTTTACCATTTCTCTTTCGTTCAGTATTGTTTTAACATTTTGATTATCTGGCATTCGTATAATGTGACCAAGTCATCTAGCTCTTTGGGCTCGTATTTTTGCTGTACATGCTGGTTTTCCATACATCCTCATTATTTCTTTATCCGCTCGTCTTCTCCAAATATTCTCTACCGTCTTTACTCCTCCAAAGATTTTTCCAAGCAACTTTCTTTCCCAGATCTCGACTTTCTTTTCTTCCTGCTGATTTATAATCCGCGCTTCACTGGCAACATCACTGTGGGTCTGATTACTGTCTCGTAGACTCGCAGTTTAGCTGTTCTTGACACATTTTTTGCTTTCTATAATGTATTTAGTGACCCTATCGCTCTGCTTCTATTCATTAATCTTTTTTCTATCTCTTTTTCTTCTTTTCCCGTGTTCGTTATGGTTACTTCTAAGTATTCAAATTCTAACACTTTTTTAAAACTATAGACAGTCTCTGCTCCTTTCATTTGGATATATTTGTTATTATTTGTTATGTCTCCTCTCATTTCCATGTACTGCGTTTTTGTTTGGTTTATTATTAATCCGTATATTTTCGCTGCTTCTTCAAATTTCTGGAAAACTTTTTCTAATGTTTTTTGTTCTCAATGGTATCACCACATCATCCGCGTACGCTATGCACTGTTCCCTGCTATTGAAAATAGTCCTGATTGTACTTATATTTGATCATTTGTTCTAATACTAGGTTAAATAAATTCGTTGATAGTGGATACCCTTGTGTTAAACTTCTATTCACTGTGAACTGTCTTGAAAAGTTTCCTTCCATTGTTAACCTATACATCGTGTTTCTAAGCATCATTCTCACTAGCCTTATAAGCTTTTCTGTATTTCCAATGTTCTCATGGCCTCATATAGCATCGTTCGATTTAGAGAGTCATATGCTTTTTTAAAATCGATAAACAGCATATGTACCCTAAGTTTTGTTGTTGTTCTTCCTAATCTAAAACCTCCCTGGTATTCTACAATCACTTTGTTATCATATTTTATTAATCTTTAATAATTTTTGCAAGTATTTTATAGACTACTTCTAATAATACTATACCTCTATAGTTTTCGCACTCCGTTTTGTCTCCTTTTTTAAAGATAAGACAAATAAGGACACTATTCCATTATTTCGGCATTTCTTCTTTTTGCCGTATTTCTTCTTTTCGGTATTTCTTTTTGATTATATACATATAATTGTTCAAAAGCATTTGAATATTTGGTTAAACTAAAAACTACGAAAGAAAAAGATATTTTCAGATCGACATCCGAATTACAACAAAAATATTTGTACAGGTTTGATACGAAAATAACTTAAAATCTTCCTTTATAAACGTTAATATTTGCCTGCGTATTTTTTTTCTCCCTAATGGTCGCAAATGCAAGTGGCGAACGCTATCTTTCGACACTAAAAAGGGTAAAGACCTACTTAAGAAGTGCAATTTCTCAAGAAAATTTGAACTTCTTAGCAGTTTTATCCATTAACAAGGACCTGCTAAATGAATTAAATATAAATGATATCGAAAGCTTCGCTTCAGTAAAAGCAAGAAAACAAGTTTTTCAATAGTAAAGGTATATTATTACCTACCTCATGTTATCTTATTATTAACCCACTTCATGTTATTAGGTACATTTAGTTTGAAACCCAAAAAAGTTGTAATTGTTTTCCTTAATTTAATAAACTTGTATTCAATATGTTTTGTTGAATTGCAAAAAAGTTAAGAAATATTTTTGAGCCTGGGCGCGGCATCCGTATGAGCACCGGGTGGCAGACCGTGTTAAACCGGCACTGATAATAACTATAATTTTGTATCGAGCGGTTCGCGCGCGTCCAGTTTCACTGCGAGCCGATCTTGCGCCTTAGAGCGCACTATTAAAATATAGATATCTTGGCCAAAAATAAACCTAAGAAGAACATTTTTCTAAGTTCAAACGTTCCTTTTGAGGTCTTCTATCATTACTGTTAATTGAAGTATAAAATGTTTATTGCTCAAATTTGCTTTAAACCGTTATAATCAAATTAATTTACAAATTTATTAAAGAAAATTACAACTTCAAATGGTATACGTTTAATAAAAATAAAGATAAAGCAATTTAACAAATTTTGTTTGAAAGTCTCTAAATTAAGGTTTAAAAAGGAACTTTGTAAAGCTCATTTACATGCGTAGAAGCCAAGTTACGATCGAAAAAGCTTTGAAAAGTGGTTAGTTTGCAATCATTTTGCACCAATTTTACAATATCTTGAATTCTAATTCTGGAATTCTAATTATTGAAGTAAAGTTTAGTAAAAGTTATTTTCTTTGTATTTTTTGTGCCAAAAGACATAAAAAAAGACTTGTCATCAGTATTTAATAGTAAACGGTGACATAGCTGGCCCTTAGTCCAATTAGTGGTCTTTAAAATAGAAGAATTTATCACAAACCTTCTTGTCATAGAGTTACGACATAAAAAATAATCACTAACTTGAACGATTTTATTAAACGTCAGAAGTCTGTTAATTTTATTTATTAATGTAAATCTTGTGTAAAGTCCTATTAACGATATCGGTATCAGTAGTCACGAATTGAAATATACCAAGTAACCTCTTATCAATAAACTCCAGAAAAATAAACCGTTATCCAAAATTATCATTGTTGTTTGGTAGTATCACAACAAATAATATTTTAAATTATACTATTCAATTGATTGTTTATTGGTAGCCGGAGTAAATAAAAGCGAGAATGGCATTTGTTTCTCGAATTAAAGATGAAGAAAACTTTATGTAAGTACTAAAAAATGTTTTTTAAAAGTTTTTATACAAGATATCAAGTCAAAATTGATATTTTATTTTTATTTAATATTTTATATCTGATATTTTATACCTCGCTTCCTTTCATCTCGTATTTGCTCATTTCTGACCATTTCTAGTTTTTATGTACCACAACTTGGTCTTAAATAGTCCACCTCAGTCATCATAAGTTTGTTTTTATTATCTGTTGTAAGAGTCCAAACCTTCGAATCGTATAGTTTACCGCTTTGTACAATATTTTTATATATATTTTTTTTGTGTCATTTTTGATTAAATTTTACCATAGAAAAGAATGAATTTTTTACGCTCGTGTCACTGCTATTCCCTTATTTATTCTCGCTTTGATCGCTCTTCATCATCCTTTTTTTTTCTTATTCAAAATTACCCCCAAATAATTGCAGTTTCCTTCACTATTTGGTCATCAGCCAGGAAGAGTGTAAATTGCTTCTATTCTTCCACCATTATTCCCATGTTTCGGCGTTTGCCCAAACATTTCTGTAGGGATCTGTCTAGATAAATCTTAAGTAGGGTGGGTGATAAACTATATCTTTGTATTGATAAACCTTTAGTTATTTTAAACGGAGAAGTAATTTGTCTTCCTCTTTTAATCATTTGCTGGTTTGTTTCTTGCGAGCCGAG